TGCTACTCCTAGTCATCTTTCCTCCCCGATTGATTGAATATTGGTTTTCATCGGGGTTGAAAAGGATAAGCAAAGCTCAATTCAACGAATTGATCTATTTGTTTATAGTAATTTGTTTTCACCTTGCTTTATTTCATTTTTTTTTATTTTCACATGTATTAAATCTGATTTGTATTAATATGTATCTAGAATTTATTTAATGATTGCATTTGTGTAATTGATTTAATATGTTATTCATTATGTGTTTTGTCCGAATTATGACGGTGCGTGTCTAAATTAATTTATGGCATTTGTGATAGTTAGGCGATGTGTTTACTCGGATGTTTACTTGTTGTTTGATATTTATATTTTTAAAATGCATTGGCATGATTTTTGGGATTGGACCTCATTTGGTCGGACATATGCACGTTGTGACAATTAATTTTACACAATATTTATTTTTTTTAGTCGAATTTTTTTTTTACCAATTTCGGTTTGATTGTCGGCTTTCGTCAAATTTAGCCTAGTTGTTGAATTTTTTTTTTGCCTTTTTTCGATTTAGGCCTAGTCATTAATTTTTGCCTTTTGTCGATTTTTGCCCAATTGTCGATTTTTGCCAACTTGTCAATTTTCATCGATTTTGCTTAATTGTCGATTCTTGTCGATTTTTGCCAACTTGTCAATTTTCATTGATTTTGCCGAATTGTCGATTCTCATCGATTTTTGCTAACTTGCAAATTTTTACCTAATTGTCGATTTTTGCCAATTGGTCAATTTTTGCCAATTTACCAATTTCGCCTATTTGCCAATTTGTCGATTTTTGCCTATGATTGCCTAGATTGTCGACTTGCATTTATTTTTGCCTCGATTGTAGATTTTTGCCTTTGATTGCATAGATTGCCAATTTTCATTTGTGTTTGCCCTAATTGCTGATTTTTGCCTATGATTGCTTAAGTTGTCAACTTTTATTGTTTTTCTCTTACATTGTCGATTCGATTATGATTTTTTGAATTGTCGACTTTCGCTTATGTTTGCATAAAATTGCTTAATTTTTTGCCTAATTGCCAATTTTTTTCTAAGCATCGATTTTCATTAATTTAGCCAAATTTATCATGATTTGTTTGTTTAACCATGTAGCCAAGTATGCCTATTTTTGCCTATTTTGTCAATTTTTATCCTTTTAATTTTATTTGTTTTGTCATCCTTGCATCATCATTTTTAACCATTCATTATAGAGTGAGGACGAGATCTCCGACCGATCAAGTCCCGAATCACTTGACTAGGAGAATGTTTTCATAAAAAATCAAAAATCGAATAATTATTGTATGCAATGCAGCTTGCCTTAGGCAAAATAGGGTATGGTGATTTTTAATCTTCCCTATACGTAATAAACCCCTTATCCCGATTCCGAACGGACCGGTCATAGGGTTTCTTAGTAACCGTAATATTAGGTGACAACTCAAATCATTTGTGTCCATTTTTCCTTCTTTTTTTTTCAAATTCGTCACCTTCGCCATCTACATCGCCCTACAATATTATCAATAGAAATGAAATTGATCGGAGGAATTAAAATCGATAACCTTAACTAGGCTCTATGATCTCTTCAATAATTCTAAACCATTGTTTAACTAAATCACATCATTAATTCTTAATTCAATTATAATTTTTCAATTCAAATCTTTAATCAATCAACTTTCAATTAAATGATCAATTTCATTCTAATTCACTCAATACTCAATACTCATTCGATTTATCTTTAATAGCATTATATTGCTTAATTCCTCATTTTTCTTAAATTATTTTCAATTGAAACCTAAATTTTATATTTTTCACTATTCATCATCTTCAACCTCTCAATTACTCAAATTCACTTAATTCCACTTCAAATTAACTTCATAAACGATTTATCCAAAACAATTAAACATCATTTAAGTAATTAAAGTCACTTAGAATCACTTTCCTTAAATGGGTTTCAAAATCCTAACCTTATTCTAATCATTTCTACAAGTAATCAACAACCTAAAGCAATTGCATTCCAATATCATTATTAGCTACATATGAACATCTTAATTCAAGGATCAATGGATCAAAAATCTTACCTTTGATACTATGCTCTTTAACTCCCAAATTGATCCTAGCTCTATAAGCTTTCTAAGCTCCAAGCTAGTTAAGCTCCACTTAAATATACTTGTTTAAGGTTTTCCTAAGCTAATTTAACAATTATTTATCTTAGGAATTGAAGAGAGAATTGGGAGGAATTTTGGAGAGAAATGCATGAGAGAAAGAGAGAAAATTACGGAAAAAAATGGGCGACTTCTTGCCCTTTTATACCTCCTTTTTTTTTTTTTAGGTTATTAGAAAAATGGCATGAAAAATGATTGTAATCATGTGAAAAATGAATGGCTTATATTGCTAAAACATCCAGTCATAATATGTGTTTAAGGCATGAATTGTGTTTATTGATTGTTCATGTTTGCATGCATATTTGTTTTATATGGCATATGTATGTGCTTGTATTGTTTATAGTATATGTTCTTAAGGATTTTAAAGTATCCATGTTGAGTTTTATATTATTGTATTACATTTTTAATTAAATACATTTACATATCATAAATCATGAAAGAGGTTTTACATTCATGATTTTGATGAAAGAAAAAGGAAAAGGAAAGGTCAAGGAATGCATTTCATACAATGCACTTACATATCATAACCATGAAAATGATTTTTCTTCATGATTTTTATGAAAAGGAAAAAGGGAAAAGACATGTTTTCAAAAAAGAATGGCTAGGTACCTTCTTAAGGTTATGAAAGAAGAATGATCACACTCTATTGAAGAAAATAGCATATTAAGGAAATGATCTGGTTTATACTCTTAGCATGCAAAGGAAAATAAGGACATGCCAAAGGAATGATTTGGTGTATACTTTTGACATGTAAACGAAAATGAGGACACGCTAAAAGAATGATCCGGTGTATACTCTTAGCATGTAGAGGAAAATATTATGGGAATGTACTTAGTGCTTTTGTGAAGTTTTCACAATTTCATGTTTTAAAAGAGGGTCGATTATATGCACAATCGAGAGGATGTGCCCAAAGAGAAAAATGAATTTCAAAAAGCATGAAATAATTTTTAAATACATCACGTGCATTATATGCATAAAAAGGCATTACATGCATTGTATGGATTATACTTACTCGGACATTGCTTAACTTTGTTTCTTATGATGTAAGAGAAAAGAAAGATGATTAAGGACTGTCATTGAGAAAAGATGAGGACTTGCCTTTTTGTGTGCTTAATGTATTATAGTGTGAGGAACTTTATCTTTGCTTAACTTAATTTTGGGTTATGTATATTCGGAAGTAGGTTAAACAAAGGGTGGTGCTTATTAATGTATGGCATGGTTAAAAGTTGAAGTTTGATGTTGTGGTATGGGTTGATTAGTTATATAAATTATTAAACTAAATGGTTACTTGGCTAATCAATATGGATTAAATGGGATAAATGATTATAGAAAGGAATTAATTAAAGGTGGAATGAATGTAATAGCTAAATAGTTACTTAATTTAGTAACTAAAAGTTAATGATAAAGGAATGTGAACTTGAAATGGTATGCTTAAATGAGTTAGTAAGATAAGGTATAAAGTCAAGTTAATGGTTAATAAATAAACGACTTTAATGGGTTAGTTTTAAATAAATTAGGAACCAAAGTTCCTTAAGTTCAAAAAATGTTTTACATGGCCAAAGTATTAGTTAAAGGTCTAAATGAATTTATTAAATGTTTTTTTGAATTTTTGGAATAATTTCCAAGCCTACGAAATTTTTATAAAAATAATGGTATTAAATATTGGTTTAATGGTGACTATTCATGGATTATTTTCTAATTGAATGTAATACATGATAATTAAATTATTTTTGAAATAAAATCAATATCAAATAATTCTACTATATTGTATGGAATATGTGAAAATGGAATAATTCTAAACTAATTTTTATATGAATTTCTAAAAGGAATTTAAGACAAATAAGAGACATGGTTCAATTTAATTTAATGTAAGGTATTTTATTAAAATGATTGATCTAGATTTCAAGGATATGGATTTTTAATCAAAATATGGTATTTAATAATTCTATACATAGTGTAGGAATATTAATTGATATTAGTCCAATTTTTAAAAAGTTTATACCTAAGTTTTATTTAATGTGGACCTATTATTTCATATTTATTAAGGACCCCATACTAGAATTACCTACTTTGCTAATAAATTGAAAATGTTAAGGGAGGAGGCCCATTGACTTGCGTTCGTTACACTCCAAATGTAAGTCAATGCCCGTAATATCTTCGACATATATAGGTTTTAAGTTTGTAATCTCTTGCAAAAGTCATGATAGGTTCAGATTTCACATATTTACGAAGAGGCTAATCGTATGACAAATTGGCTAACTTCTCATGCTTATTCCCTTTCACTAGGAGCTTTTTATTATTTGGTTGCTCTAATTGCTTTTATTAACTTTTTATTAAAGAATATCTACGGAGTTGTAACTCCTAATTTTTATAAACTCGACTAGCATATAATAATAATAATAATAATCATAATTTTGTGTTTGTTCTTTACTTTTTAATTGTAATGTATGTCATTTTTCGTTAGCTGAGGCAGAATGATTAATTAGCAGACTAGGAAACTGATTAGTTAGGAGATTTTCATTGACTACGCAAGGAAGAAAAAAGGTATTGGTTGCACAATAGCAGTTCTTTTCGGTTCCTTTCAAAATTTATGTTGCCAAGTCACATTCATGTGTGCCTCACTTAACTACTCATCAATAGTTTGATACATGTTAGGTTGATCCTCTACGTAATGTGACTTGTCTTTATGTGACAATTTTGACAAAATGCACTAGCTCAAATAATTAATCTGATTAAAATATAAACATGTTTGGTTAATTTGATGCCTTCTTATCTTAGTTAGCCCGGTTGTTGAATCTGCAGTTACATATGATCACCCATGTCGAGCTTGCAAAGTAAATGTCCATGCTTCCTGAACCCTACTTGTACTCTAAATGTTATGCAGGTAGCAGTGTACAAGTTATACCCTTATTTGACGCCAATGTCGTTAAACACTTCTGGTCTTTCATCCTGTTTCTGCTAATTCTATCTACTTCCGACGAGGTTGTTGCTGTCCACCGGTTTGATTCGCCGAAACCTGACATTCCTACACACTTCAACTTTTTCCGTTCGGCTTTACGGGGGAGGGAAAGAGTACTGTCATGTGCCAATGATCCTAATGTGTGTGTGGATCGCGAGAAGAACCCATGGGGCGGCAGCACATGTTGTTTCAGGAAATTCTGCAAAGATACGTTGAGGGATTCAAATAATTGTGGGGCATGTGGGCAAACATGTGCTTATGGATTTGTTTGTTGTGATGGAAAGTGTGTTGATATTCAAAACGATCCACACCATTGTGGTTCTTGTTTTGAGGAGTGTCCTGGACAGGGTAGGTGCTCCTTTGCAATGTGTGATTATGGTGGATGAATAACATTTTGACTCAATAAAATTTCTTGAAATTACTATTCCTTTTCCTCTATTTAATTTTTGTGCTCTATAGTTTTCCTCATTGATTACAGTGTCTTTTTTTTTTTTTTTTTTGGGTGATGATTTGGACATATTTCCAACTGCTTTTGATTTTATTAATTTTTAAAGTTCCAATAGTTTTAGTAGTGTTCAGCCATTTTATATGACAACAGCACATTGCATACCTTTTTTTTTTTTTTTTTTTAATGCTTGCCATAAGAGCATAAACCAAAAGTTCGGAACTGAAATCATATACGTTGCGACTTTTTTCTACATTAATTTAACCTAAGGTGAAGGTGGGACCGACAATCCTGAAGAACCATTAATTTAGTAGGCTCCAACATGTCCAGAAATATCTAAGTCAAAAATACCTTCTTTTTATTTTATTTTATTATTTGCTTTGTTGACTGAAACCATAGACTTAGTCGTATCCTAGTTAGTTTCTCGCCATCCATTTATATCTATATATGCATACTACAATATGGGAATATGTTCCAATCAGCGGCAAAGAAGAAATATATTTTTATCCTTATGAGCAAGTAAAAAGTGAAGGGAATTTTTTTTTAAAAAAATACAATTAATAACTTTTTCCCTCGGGATGAGTACTGAGAGAGTTCTAAAAAGTGAACTGCTAACTTACTTTTTTTTTTTTTTAGAATAACTGGTATTCTTGTTCCATATATTCAAATTCATATTTCACCTTGCAAGTAATTGTTGATCTCAAGTAGAAGAGGAGGAGAGGAGGAAAAAATATAAATATAATTTGGAAAGGTCAGGTTTCTACGAGGTAAAAAAAAAACGACACTCTTTTCTTGTTTTCTAATTCTTACCGAAAGATTCTACATTAATGATTTTTACAATTCACTATTGTCAAGTGGTAAAATCTAACCAAAACAATAAATAAATTTATGATCTCTTATAAATGAAGTTTTTTTTTCTGGAACATAATTGACGTAATTTTTCAACTCAATCGTATTGAATTAGCGAGTATTAATCATTTTATTACTCAAGTGTCAAACAAGAATAGAAAAATAAAAATATCCTGACTTGATTATCAGATTTTGGTAAATTTGACTTCAAATAGGAAAATAAGAACTTGCTCGACTTGAATTTGAGATTTTTCAACAAATGAAAATATATCAACAATTTTACAGTTTATTTCAATTCATGTTGTGAAAAATAAAAGATATATGAGAATTTAAAGGAAGGATGGCAAAAAGAAAATTCACTATAAAGTGAATACAAGTGAGAAAACTTCGAGTTGTTCTCTTAATCTCTCTACAAACTTGTACATCAACAAATGAACAATCAAGCCTATTTATAGGCGCTCAAAATTGAGATGAGAATTGGAAGGACTATGAATAATTAAAAGTATATCAATTGCATCACCCTTTCAATTTCTCAAATTGAATGATGAATTGAATCACATTAAGGATTATGAGTAGTGGGGATATAAAAAGTAGATGGACATTCATTATTTTATAACAATTCATTAGAAATTTATGTATTTATTTGCAAGAAATGAATCGATTAAGGGCATATTTCATTAATTTTCTGATTTATCAGTCGGCTCCAACGAAATCATTGTAAAATTAATTCATTATATATATATAGGGATCCACAACTGGTTATATGAAAACTGTATACAGTAGCTTCATTCGTATGTACATATTCAAAGAGCTGTATCCCATTTGAAATCTAGTAGTTGGATTCTAGTTAACCAAATAAACGTGACAACATCTTTTATCAGATCTAATAATAGTACCTTTTCATCTTAAAAGCAGCAGCAGCAGTAAAAGATATATAATTCAAAAATGAAATTTCGTCTTGGAATTTTAATTGTATAAAATAAAGCCAAAAATATTGATGGAATTAATTAGTACTATATGTACTATTACCATCAAACTTTTGGGTTCTGAAAAGTCCAAAGGGTAAAAATAACTCATTCTCCAAGACAACAAACGCGTCCCCAAAGCACTTCTTTTAAAATAAAAAACGAAAACCATCGGCATCTCCCCATCTTCCCATTCCCTCTGAAGACCACAAACACCCCCAAAAACTTCGAGAGAAACACAAAAACCCTTGGAAGAATAGCACAAACACAAATCAAAACCACAAAAGAGGGAAAAAAAAATGTTTGAAGGGAGACATCATCAGCAACATCGTGGTCCTCCCCATGGAATCCTACTAGCAATAGTAGTATCCATAGTGGTGCTAGCTCCATTCATCTTTGGTGACCAAGGTGAAGCCATGACTGAGGCTTTTGCTGAGCTTTTAAGCCCAATGGGTCTCTTGCTCTTGCCCATTATCCTTCTCTTGACCATCCAGTTCCTCTCTTCAGGTCGTGGCTCCTTTGTCTCTACCGTCTTCTCTACTGGTGAGCCCGACTCCATTCACCGAGTTAGTGGATCACCTGTTGGTGTTGCTCTCTTTCTTTTTCTCATCTTGTTCTTGCTTTACAATCGTATGTCCATCTTTGGTGGTGATGATGACTCTGGTGATTAAAAAATGAGGCTTCTTCCATGGATCTGGTTCCCTTTTTTTAAAAAAAAAAAAATGTTATGGTTTCTTGTGTATACAGTAGACTTTCCTGTATGAATACAAGCTGGGGACGTTGAGTTTCTTGTATGAACATGGGCTTAGTGGTGCTTTCTAATTTTACGTAAATACCCTGGTAATGGATGGTGATTTCTATTTTGTTTGATGGGTATTATGGTCAGTGGAGATGGGTGGAAATTGAAATTCCATTATGATGCAATGACAGAAGTACCCTCCCTGGGAAATTATGTTAATTTTCGTTGTTATTTATTCAATTATTCAAATGAGATGTATGAAAGAGTAAATTAAGAGAAGCTCTATGATAACATATACATGTATGTATGTATGTATTAAAAGAACTTTTCATTTAAATTTAATGAGCAAATTCAACACAACACGCAGTTACCGTTATCATCTAAGCCAAAAACCAAATTACGTGGATCGGTGCCTGTTTACGCGCACATTTCCTCGCTTTTTTTTTTTTTTGTAATACAGGGTGTTCGAGTTAACTTGTGCGCATCGTGACTAATCTCTAAAATCCATCGAACACTCTACAAACTCAGGAATATGTAAGACATCGTGAAAGTGACAGACGTACACACAAAGAGTCGCAGACGTACACACAAAGAGTCGAATCCAGATGATTTTCAGAGAATAAACCCTCTTTTCACTAGACTACGAACTCAAGCCACATTTCCTCTTTTTGTCACTTGTTGATGGAGTTCTTCTTGTCACTTCACTTTATTAATATTTCTTTGCATTTGTAAGCAGGCAAATTTAATATAAATTTTAAGCAAAAGAGACGGTCACACTAAAAATCAAATGTCGATATTTGACCTTTCCAGTATTTTTCTTAAAATTATGTACTGCAATTTTTTAACAAAATAATACGTCATAGCTCTATTTTAATTTTATTATTATGATTATTTTATTCAAGTCTAAAAAAATCATACGGGGGTGCAGAGTCCAGATCAATTTTATTTATTGGTTCACAGGAAAGAAGGTGACATGAAAAAGAAAATGGAATTTGACGTGCGCATGTGGTAGGTAGTGATGACGTGTCACGTGCATCACGTAGAAGGAGAAACACTTCCTGACAGGCAGATGCAAAACTACATCAAACTGACATCAACACGTGCGAGCAGGTTGAATTTTTCCTCAGAAAGATATTAAACTGGAATAATATTTCTCTCTTCTTTTTTAATATATATATATATATATACATAGTCATTAGTCCACCGTGAGGAGCTAAGCTGGCAGAAACGCGTCATTAAGGAAGGAAACTGCGGTCGAAATCTGACTAGAAATTGTTGGAAAAAGAAGCCCAAAATCTGTACATTTGAAACTGTTGACTGATCCTCAGAGCTGACAGAGATGGATTATCAACACAGCCCCAACCCTGAAGAAACTCATGGCAAAAAAAAAAAAAAGCACAAGAGGTGGCTTTCTTGAAAGAGTTTTTTTTTTTTTTACCAAAATTAGGATATTTTTAAATCTTTATTCTTTAAATATGATAATTTTAAATTTAATTTTCAAACTAAATAATTTTTTGCCACATAAGATATTTTTATCCATGTAATTTTTTCATTACTGTAATTAATTTGTCTTCTTCTCTCATATTTCAATATTACGAACTGCCTTCTCCAATTCCAACATATATGTCTCATTATCCAATGGCTTTGAATCCATGAGAATATATGATTTTTCCTTCTTAGCTTTCTCCTTTTTATCTATTGCCTCATTGTCATACTTTTTTCCATTATCCATGTACAGTAAAATAGAAACAATAAAAATCCCAAAATTTCAAAGGTGACTTCTATGTACAGATATATTGGTGTTTCATGGGGCAATCAAAGGTCTAGATCCACATTGCAATATCTGCAAGTACATCATCTAGTCGAATTTTCACCCTTGAATAATATCTATAAGGGCAAGACAGGAAGCTTCACGTGAATGCCAAAGTCTAGATCCACATTGAATTATGAAATCATCAATAATAAAGTGCATGTATTAATTTTACTACTTATGAACGAAGCTACCAATTCAGAAATCTTATATCCATTTAACCAAAATAAAGTATAGATACTCTCTTTTTAAACTTTGTATGTTGATGCAATGAAAAATCTGTATCCAAAGATTTAATTGGTTTTGTTGGTCATGTAGCCTTAGTTGACATCTTGGTTGCCAAAACACAGGCTTGGGAAGAGGATTATCGCATACTGTTTGCATATGATGGTGTGCCTCTCCTTGCCATGCTAGATGAATATGCTAGCATGGCATAAATCTTACATCCATTTAACCAAAATAAAGTTTAGATCCTCTCTTTTTAAACTTTGTATGTTGATGCAATGAAAAATCTGCATCCAAAGATTTAATTGGTTTTGTTGGCCATGTAGCCTTGGTTGACACCTTGGTTGCCAAAACACGGGCTTGGGAAGAAGATTGTGGCATACTGTTTGCATATGATGGTGTGCCTCTCCTTGCCATGCTAGATGAATATGCTATGCTCAGGCAAGAAAGAGAAGAAGAGAAGCAGAGGATGAGTTTCAGTTTTACCTAAAAAGCTTGAAGCGAGATATGAAGAAATAGAGTTATATCATTTAATGACATGTAATTCTACGTGTCAATAAATACACATTTTGATAAATAAGTTTAAAAGTACCCTTTTGGTAATAAAGATTTAAAAGTACCCTATTTGAAGAAAAAAAAAAAAAAAGCTCTTCTTGAAAGGCATTACGTTGAAGCTAGATTTCAGTCATCCTTAATTGATGTAAGATCAAAATGTCGATCTAGATGAACAATTCAAACGTTGATCATGGATGACTAATATTTCCATCTCCATTACTTGACATTTAAAGAACTTTTAAAAAATTATTTATTATTTATTTGTTTGTTTTAGTTTTTAATTATTTTGGAGACGCGAACTAACTTATGTTTCGAAATCATTATCTAGCATTAAGAAAATAAAAAAAAACTAAAGAAAAGCACTCAAAGGCATCCATTCCAAGAAAATATATTATTTCTAGTTTAATCTTAAAAATATATCTCATAAAAAAATCTATTTTTTCCAATTTACTTCTGAATTTATTTCCACGTTCACATATTCTCTAAACCAAACTATTTTTTTTATATAGTGGCATCATATTGAATTAATTATGGGACCTTGACTTCGGGAGTCTCGTCAATTCAACGTCAAATTCACTTAAAATCTCGACATAACCAATATGTCAAAAAACAACATAGTTGCTAAGTGTGATTGATTTAAATTAATTAACAATATCAATAACTATTAGATAGACTCGTTAAATTAGCTTTAAAAAAGAACCTTCTCTTTCTTTCTTTTTTCATACTTAAACTAAATGTGTTTTATTTTGAGGTATATGAGAAAAATATTTTCAAAAATATTTTTTTGTTTCCATTTGCGACATTGTATTAAATTAATGTCGGTTCTTAAAATTTAAGAGTCTTATCAATTTAGCTTCAAATCCAAATTAACGTCCTAACATGATTCGCATATCGAGAAACAATGTAATTAACTAGAATTGTTTGCACATAATGTTGAATAAAATTGATCCAACTTGACTCTTTATTATTTTTTTTATATTTTCTTAGCATTTTTATTATTGAAAAAAATATATCGAAATCATCGTTCATCCATAATATATAGGAGATTTGTTGGTTCGGCATCACAACCGAATGAAATTCATACATTAAAATAAAATTTACAACCTAACTATTTTTAAGTTTTCTAACACAAATAAAATTAAATATTATTACAAAATAACATAATAGAATAATCTAAAAAGAGTAAGAAAACAAATCAAAATGGTCACTAAAAAAGTGACTAAAATGCCTATTTGATTTTTACTAAAAATAACCAAACTACCCCTCTTCATAGAGAAGAAAAAATTACCCCCTCTCTCCTTGGATTCCTCTTCTGCTGGGTGTGTCGGCATTTCCATTAATCTTTCGATGTCTTGTGCTCCAATGTCAACCTCATATGCATTTGGAAAAGCTCAAAATTTAGCCTTTGCTACATATTTTCCGGAATGCATTATTTTTTAGAGAGCCCGTAGAAAGATTGTGTCACAAATAGTTATTGATCCAGAATTGCCATCATCTCCATCTTGACAAAGAGATGACTAAAAAGCTTAATGAAAGAGACCTCCACCTTTCCTAATTCTCAAAGAGACGAAGAGGAAGAGAAAGGGCGGGATCTACTAAGAAGTTGTGTAGAAATGGGAGATGAAATTGAAGCCACACACACACACACACACACACACACACATAGAAAGCGCTCTCTCTCTCTCTCTCTCTCTAAATGAGACAACATAAAAAAATTAAAAATTAAAAAGCAAAAAGATGAGGGTGAATGGCTTGTTAGTGTAAGTGCTTAAGATCCAACTATGTTTGAATAGATTTAAGTTATTGTATCATTATATTATTTATTTTATTAATAGTAAAAGAAGTATTTTTATTAATTCTTATTGTTTACATTTATTTACCGAATAGAATTAGATAAAAGTCTATATGATATGCATTTGCATTAGTGATTAATCGAAAGATGTGAAACAAACATTAATGCACATAAATGATATCATTAAATATCCTAAGTCGTAGCATTGTCAATAATGGACATTGACTATATGCGGTTAGACTTGTGAGTGCTATATTCATACTATATGATAGTAGTAAGAGATCTCACACCTATTGACACGATGATGCTAATACAAGCACTTAGGTCATTAATGTTTGAGAACATATCACTAGACTTGACTCACTATGAGAACCTATTTGATTTAGTCTATGAGAATCTTATATGAGATGGGTACAATTAGTTCGAAACTTGAAGTCATTACGGTTATCTCATTAAAAGATTTATGTACTTTGACATTCATTTTGATGGACTCGGTATAGGGTTATAAGTGGGTGATTCGTTAGGTGTACTATGAATCTAATAGAGGTAGATGGATGACTAAGATAAGATATATCATTCCTTGTATGCTTGAAGAAGTTATCACATTGCACTTCAATGAATGTCTACTCAAGAAATATGTGGCCATAGTAGGAGTACATCAATAGAGCATTTTTTATTTACTCTAAAAGCCAAGATATTTGAAAATTAAAGAAAACCTGCATGATCATAATCGAACAAACTAAATAACTAAATTCAAGATCACAATGTGATAAATTGAAATGAGGACTGAATTATATGGTAACCATGCTTGTAAAAAGTAATTGTGGATTAATTAATCCTCTTAGAGAATTAGATAGTCATGATGCTAATATATCTACGAGCCTATTGAATCGTATGCATAAATCTACGCATTTACATAATAAAAGAGAAGCAAAGATGTTGAAAAAAGTTTTCAATTTTAGAAAAGGTTTCCAAAAATAAAAATTTTCCTAAAATGGAAAGTTTCTTATTTTAGAAATCAATTTTCTAATTTCAAAGTCAGTTCTAAATTTAATAGTAAATCACTCGAAAAGGGAAATTAGTTTTCTAATTTAGGTTTAAAGGTAATTTAGGAAATTATTTTCTAATATAGGCCTCCTAAAAATATCCGACTTAATTTATTTGGATAGTCCAAATTAATTAGTAATTAATTAGGCCATAGGAGTTTGAGCCAATAGGTTTAATTAAAAAACCTACAAGATATTTTGATAGGAGGATATACATGAACCTCATTTGATAAGGACGAATGTTTAAAAGGATAAAATCAAAAAGCCCACATGCATAATAACTTCTAATTTTTTGAGGATTAGGAAGCAACAACTAAGAGTCTTTTAAGGACTCATTATCGTCGCCTTCCTTATCCTTAAAGGAAAAAGAAGGCACTCCCTTATATAAATAGAAGGAGAGGAGGTGAAAAAGAGGATGAAAAAAAGGATAGAGGAGAGAACACACACAACAAAGAGAAAAAAAATAATTAGGGCTTTACGACAACAAATATCATAGAGAAAAAATAGTTTTCTCTCCTTAAAAATTGCTCCACCTCTCTTCCTTCTCTTAGGGTTGTCACATAAATTACCATGAATAGATTTCTAAAGAAAAACACAAAACAAGTCGGAAAAAGGTGGAGCTAGCACTCTACTAATTTTGAGTGCTTGTGTAGATGCTTGGACTATGTGAATTATCAATAGAGGTTAAACGCTTTGATGACTCCTTTTCTACAAAGGTTTAATTCTACGCTACAGGAGGCAATCCTTTATTTATGCTTTAATTCATGTATCTATATAGTTGATTCAATAGCATGATCTTGAGAACTTTGGATAAAAGAAAATTTTTATTTTATTTTACACCTTCATAGATGCATGATCCTTCATAGTTATAATAGTTAGAAGAGTTTAGGTTTAGAGAGAAAAGAAAGATTTTTTTATAATGGGTTTTTCGAATAGTGGTAAAAGAGAAGGGTTTAGGGTTTCGGGTTTTAAAAAAAAGGGTGATGTTGGTGCGAATTACAAGGAAAAGATCTATGATGTGTCTTTTTTGTCTAGATAGGTGAGGTGCGGTGATGAATGATATGTGAGAGATGTTTATTGGTGTTTTTCGGAGGATTTAAGTCAATGGTTGAGATAGGTAAAGGATAGGTAGTTGTGGAATGGTCGTAAAGAAGGCTATTATGGAGGAGGTGGTCAAATGATAGCTAGTTATCATGGATGGGTAGTGGAGGAGCTAGGTTTAAATGGTGATTATATGGGAGTATTGGTGCTAGTGAAAGAGGCTTGTTTCGGTAGCTATAGTAGTTTGGCTATTTAGTGGAGGATGGGTTAAGAGAGAAAGATTAGGCCAATGTTGTTTGATAGAAAAGGGATTATTAGCAAAGGAACTTTACCAGTTTGTTGTAGGTGAAGAAGGATTGTGATGGTTCAAAAGGTAAATAGAGTTCGATTAGTTGTGGTAGTTTTGGAAGATGCTAATGGTTGCGATTGTCGTTTAGTTATTGGCAAAGTTTGGCAAGAAAAGAAGCATAGCTAGTATTATCGATAGGAAGAGGATGGCATTTGGAAGACTAGTTTTAGGGTTTTGTAGGTTAATAATCGTAGTCATCCGATGGTTGAGATAGGTGAAGGGTGGTGGTTGTTTTTAATGATAATGGGTGGATTTAGAGTCGGCAATGTTTACTAGGTGTTTGTGTTTTTATCTATGAGATAGTGAAGTTCTTGTTTTAGGTGTGGAAGAAAACGAGTTATGGTGGTCGATGGGTATTGAGCTACTATGAAGGAGAAGGATAATTGGTTTGGGACTAGTAGGGAATAGGCTCGGGCGATGACTATATTGGAGGATCAATATTGGTGAAGGATGTTGGTAGGTGAGGAAGAAAAGCAAACGGGTTAGTGATGGATTTTTCCGAGGGTGGTCGTTAAGGTTTTAGTAATAGAAGATGAATAGTGGCAACCTTAATTTTTTTCTAGCAAGGGTTTTTTAGTGGGTAGGAAAGATGGATAGTTTTGACTCTCTCAAAAAATGAGAAGACAATTTTTTTTATATAGGGGTTTCTTTAGGGTTGTGATAAAATCGAATTTGGTCTTTTTTTGTTCATTTATTTCAATTTCAAT